ACATAGAAACTTGACTCTACGTAGACCGGAAAAGGCTGACGATAGTAAAAGCTGTTGATGTACACTATGTAAAAAAAAATGCAAATTAATTTAAACATAGACCGATCGGTACTTGCGGGCTGTACTTACCGAAGAGATCTCGAACCCCTTACTTAAAGTTGTCATATATTGAAGTATTTCCATGATTTTTCGGACATTGACATTTGAATAAATACTTTTTCACACCGGAGATTCAAAGAACAACTTCAAAATGGCAGCCAAAGGTTGAGTATAACGGTAGGGAATCCGCAAATCTGCTCGGTATTTTTTGCAAAAATCCAGCACTTCACTACCGTTTGTTTTCGGTAAAACATTTTTTACAGAACATTCGTCATACTTTTTTACAGTATTGCGGAATTCCAACAATTTACAGTTTTGTTCAGTATTTTTTTCTACAGTATTTGGTTATTTTCTGTAGCTTACGGAAGTTCAGCAATTTGGATTGCTGTAAATTGGTAAAAAAAAATACAAAACCTTCGGTAAACATTCTGTTTTACGGAACGAATTCAGCAGAAAAAGTACCGAACATAATTTAAGGAATTTGGTGTGTAAGTCTGGTACCTGGCTGTCTACTGGCGCCTGTTGTTTAAAGTAGCCGTTATCAGGATGATGTGAACAGTTTTGTGCAACTGAAGGATTGGTGCATTGGTTTCTGGCAAAAAAATGAATGAATCAGCACAAGTGTCAACGCGACATTAACGAGGAACGAGGAGGGTAGTAAGATTTTGTGACTAGCAATTTTTATATTAAAACTGTTCCTCAGGATAGGGGGTTGCGGAAGGAGGAGCGCCTAATGTATCCTCATTTTCACGAAATACAGTTAATGCATGGCTCCTCTTATCACTAGTGTTCGTAATATCGTTCCTGTAAGCTCTTATGCAATAATTATAAGCAGGGGGATGGTTGGGAATATAGGTGGTGGTGAACTTTTTCACTGTGCTATTACCAGTGCTGTAAAGTCTCAAAATCATTTGAACATTTTTGATGAAAATGAGAAAAGTAGCTATTCGCTATCAAAGGGGACCTCCTCCGAATGGGTGATATCAGTTGCTTAGTCATTTGACGAAGGCATGGATCATTCTCATTTGAGAAACGCTATATATCATTCGATTGAGTGTAACCTACACACAAACGGAGCTCTGGTCGACATTCCGGCGAAAAAGCTAAGCCAACCCGACACCAACCTGACTTCTATCAAACCCCAACCCGATGTTGACCCGACATTGACCCGACATAAACCCAAAATTGACCCGACATTAACACGACATTGGGTCGACATCGACCTTAAATTAGCCTTACATTGATCCGACATCGGGTCGACTTGTCTGTTCGGGACCATTTTCCTGGATTTCTTCCATACTCCACTGTCGTATATCAAATGATACTGAGTGACTCAATTGACAGTGACAATGAGCTTCGAATGAGAAAGGGGCTCTTCAAATTATGGTCATGTGAGAATTCGTTTACACAGAATTGATTGAATGGTTGTAGTGGTTCATCTTCAATCGAATGATATGAAAATTTACAGCATTGGCTATTACTGTCCTCTCCCATGACTGGGAATCCTGTAAAACAATGTAAAACTAGAAAGGGTCTAGACCCTCCTTATGTAAAACCATAAGGTATGCGGGACTGCCCTAATAAAAAATAACCATAAACGAACGATAACCCAAATCATTGAACTATTCCACAAATGGTTTGGATGATACCCAGAACACGTCGTTAAGCAAATTAACCATACAATTTTTATTAGGGTGGTGCACTGCTGAACTTCAAAACGTTTTATTTGCTGACCAAGGATCTGACAAAAACATCTTTTTAGTGTGCAATTTAGGATGATAAAAAATTTAAACAGGTTATTCAATGTCCATTAAAACTGTAAAAAATATAGCCAAAAAAAAAAGAAAACAAAAAATTATTACCAGTTGGCTGGAAATGAACACAAAATTAATCAAAGTACCATGTACCTTGAGCTTTTGATATAGTGACAGATTGAGAACGATCTAAATTTTCCATCCACAAGTATTGCAAGACTTGAAATTAACAGACAATCTCAAAATACTTTCAACTTGCGAAGTGATAGATTCCCAAGTGAATACACCTGCTGAATAAAAATTATCAAGTAAACTATTTTTTTAGAATCGATGTTTAATAGATTTTTTTTTTGCAGTTTGAGATCCATGAAAAAAGGTACAGTAGCTTTATGGCACCAGTGACCAGCAAATTTAATATTTTCATTCAAGGTTGTGTGGAAATTCAAGCTACCGGGCGAGCTACTGGGTTACATTGCTGTCCTCTACCTAATGCAGTCGAGTGATCAAATCAGAAAGTTAGCAGATTAGAAATCACTTAATAACTAATTTCCTCAACTTTCAATTAAAAAGTGGTCTTAAGAAGAAAAAAAATGCAGCTGAGAAAATTTCCTATGAGTACACAAGGCTAATTTATTGGTAGATCATTATGGCGAATTTTAAAGACGAGGTGAACAAAATAATCACTTATAAATTTTAGATGGTCATTGCAGAATGAGATCACAACCCAATAAGCTCAAATTTTGGGAGAATTATCTGGACCTGATTAAAAATCGATTGAGCTTAGTGAAGCAAAGCCGATATTTTGAACCACCCTAATAAGCATGTTCTCAATGCAGTAAGACTAATCAACAGAATGCTTGCTAGCTTACACTAAACATGTCTAAGCGCCAATATCAGTGGTCTAACTGTACTTCGCACTAATAGCATAGTTCTTCTTGTCGAAGAGTACAGCCGCAAATGATGATTTGGTCAGCAAAGATTAGACTCTTGGTGAATAATTACAAGTATCTACTATTAGCTGGTTGCATTGAGAACTAAAACTATAAATAAATCCGGAAAACTTTGAGATTAGGGCGTAATTTCTTTTGTAAACACACACTTAATTCGCCGATTTCTCGTGAATTAAAGTTCAATCTAAAAAACTAACAACACAGACAGGTAGAGGAATGATTCATTTGGTATAGTATAGTTCGCTAGATTGTGCTTTGATTCGTGAGAAATCGCTGAATGACGTGTTTGTTTACAAAAGCAATTACGCCCAAATCTCAAAGTTCTCTGGAAATGGTATTTAATGTGAAGGATGCGAAAAATATCGGAGAACGAGAAGAAAACAAACAGACACTCTCGCGTGATCATCGCCTACCTTTACTCGCTGGAAAGAAAAGAACAAAGCTGAGGGGATATTTGGTTGGTTCGAATCACGAGTACGTGTGAAATGATGTGAGATGGAGAGACGAAAGATCTTTCGCGATACGAAATGAAACTTTCTCTCGCTCTACGCTTTCATGAACTTTTTATCATCTCTCGCTCGCGAACTTTTTGCGAGAAGTTCCTTTGGGATTTATCTCTGCAATGAGCTGTGATAGAACTTTTTTTGAAAATGATTTTTCCAACACTGTTTGTGACTTTGAACTGTTTGTTGGGTAGAGCAGACGTGATAGCCAGCCAACTGTCCAACAGGGCAGCTTAGGACAGTTGTGACCGCTTACCAGCTGCGTGTGCTAAGCACTCTAAGAACCCGGCGTCACTCCTGCCTTTGCACAACGAGGGTTTGTGCAGGGCTTCTCAACCTCCTCTTGTTGTTCACTGTTCGTTGTTCGCCCGAGTTCTAGAGCAGACGTGATAGCCAGCCAACTGTCCAACAGGGCAGCTTAGGACAGTTGTGACCGCTTACCAGCTGCGTGTGCTAAGCACTCTAAGAACCCGGCGTCACTCCTGCCTTTGCACAACGAGGGTTTGTGCAGGGCTTCTCAACCTCCTCTTGTTGTTCACTGTTCGTTGTTCGCCCGAGTTCTAGAGCAGACGTGATAGCCAGCCAACTGTCCAACAGGGCAGCTTAGGACAGATGTGACCGCTTACCAGCTGCGTGTGCTAAGCACTCTAAGAACCCGGCGTCACTCCTGCCTTTGCACAACGAGGGTTTGTGCAGGGCTTCTCAACCTCCTGGGACGAGCTGGATGGGGTTCCAGCGTCCTTACTCTGCGGTAGTTCGTTTAGCCGCAATATCTCTCCCTTGGGTTCGATAATTAACGTTTCCAGGGCACACCACGAGGAGGCGAACTACTTCATGCCCCCACTTTTGTGCATCTGGAGAACTCTATTCGTGATACACTGTCACCGCTGCCACTCACACAATCATCCACTCAATCTTGCTTTTCTCTCGATTAGTTTACCAAGGCTCTTACTGTTTCCACAATTGCCACACATTTACGTATGCGCTGGTGAATGCATGCCCCTCCGTACTGTTATGCTCCGTTCATTAGTGTCATCTTCAACAGGGATGTATATTTTTTTATTGCAGTCATAATTAAATAAATAATTATGAAAAGGTGTGAGTACATTTATTTATGTTTTTAATTTTATTTCTCTTGCATATCTTATATACTACAGGTAGTAGTGTTGCCATGTGGTACAATCCAGTAGTAGTGGTGTTGCCATGGGCTCATGCATTAATTATGTCACGCTAAATCGAGCAAAAAATTACCCCCTCCCGCCCCCCTCTATCGTGACGTTTTTCCTATACCTAATCAATTGCTAGTCACAAAATTAGACCACCCCTTCCCCATTAGAGCGTGATATAATATATGCATCAACCCCATGTGGTACACTGAAAAATTGCAATAGCAGTTTAGTCACCAAAGTTTTCGAGCCGCTCCGTCTGTCACTTCGTTTGTGCTTTTAGCATATTTACAGTTTCTTGATGAACTGGTGACTGTCTAAAATTAAAGAAATTTATCGAAACGGTTGGTCGAGAAACCTCATCAAACGCATCGGACGATCCCCCGATCAGCATTTCTCATCCCGTGACACAGTTCCCAATGGCTAGCCGTGACATAAACCTTGCTGTTCCCAAAACATACTTTGACAGGTATCCATATGATGTCACATCAGTGCATCTAATGGCGGAATTCTTTCTTCGTATCAGTTCCGATTAGCTGGGCTTTTCAAGCACTGTCCGCAAAGCAGTCGCGTTTCCAAAAGATTCGTCAGTAAAGTTCTGCCCCCGAGGTTCCACCGGTGCCGACGGAAATGATTTCGGACCGTACGTGAGTTAAGATTGTTTGTGTCGTCCAGTTGAAATCTAGTCTCCCACCGAAGGGTTGAGCGTGTGAGTGCAGTACCGTGCATCTAGTGCGATGGAAGTGCAAAATAGCAGCAACAACAGCAAAAAACGCCACCCGCCACCGGTGGATGATGACCTGGATGCGGCCGGGCCCAAGCGGCTCGAGAAATCCCTAGCCATGATGACCGTGAACGTGGTAGATCTGCTGAAGAAAGCACCAAAGGGCATTCTAAATCTGGGCGAGGTAAATAGTGTTTTTTTTTTGTTACTGCGCGGTTCGGTTCGAAGAGGGCGCGATCTAACTAAATATGCTTATTTTGTGTTGGTGTTGTTTTTTTCCCCGATTTTCAGGCTACTAAAATATTGGAAGTCCGCCAGAAGCGACGAATTTACGACGTGACAAACGTACTGGAAGGCATCGGATTGATTGAGAAACACGGCAAGAATAGCGTCAAGTGGCGGTAAGTAGCGAGTTCTTATCAGAAGGTGACTGATGTATAGTGGCAGTGGGAGTGGGCGCGCAAGAATGAAATTCAAAATATCAAATATGGCGCACTTGGGAAAATTGCGCGCATTAGCGTAAATTTGGTAGCGCTAAAATTTCGAAAGACATGGACTTTGGATTAGATTATTCGGTTCGCGGAAATTGTTTTTCATTTCGAATTTTGTCGCTGAGTTAGGAAATAATTTAATTAAAAAATATAGTTTCGTCATGAGGGGGAACCTTAAAGCTAAAAGTCAGGTACCGGACGAGTTCTTCATAGAAGAAGAATAGGACAAGAATCGAATGTCATCTTACAACATATATTTATTTCTTCGTTACAGCGGAGATACTCTTACTCCGGATCCTCGTGATGTCAATCGTCAAATGCGTGTTCTGAAGCACGAGCGTAGCTCCCTCTTGGCCTACGAAGCCTCCATTGACAAACAATTGAAGATAGTCCGTCAGTGTATGAACAATTCTCACGTCGATGAAACTACCACTTCCTTTGCCTACGTTACGAGTGAAGATATAACGGATGTATTTGGCGAGCAAACGACCAATCTGCTAGTGAAGAAGCCAAGCGAATCCACGTCGATAGACAACAGTACCAAAACATTACGCATTTCATCGGGAAAAGGGCTTCCGCTGGATGTGAGATTGCTCCGCGAACCGAATGGGGCATGTTTCAGTAGGCCAATGAGGAGAGTCAATGTGCGGAGAAAACAGAACAAACATCAGTTCAAGCGGCTCGAAGCCCGCAGGCGGGATGAAAAAAGTGCAATCCAATTATGGCAAGAGTTGAACTCCGATTTAAACCGAATAACCGATGGCGAGCAACGGGAGCAGGAACGGGATGCCAAAGTGCTCCTCGGAAGGGATCTCACTCGACTTAGTCGATTTCACTCTCAAAGCTTGCATCAGCAGGACGACGTCGATCCCAATTCACCTTTCATCTCACTTGAACCGCCGGAGGGTTGCGGTTACACATTCTCCTTAGCTGCCAACGAAGGAGTGTATGATCTGTTCGATCTTTCTTGTCCGTCCTCAAGCGGTGTCCAGCGAAGTCAACCAATGGAGACAGCGGAAAACCAAAAACTCATTCAACATGATGCAAATCCACTAGGTGTAAATTAAATTTTGTTTAGTCGTAATTGTTGTAACTATTGTGTGAGTCATTACTTTCTTCCATCATGAGCGCAAAATTCCATGTTTAGGGTAAGTTAATTTATGTAATTAATCCTAGTAGATTTTTTTTTGTATCGACCTTGATTGGCACATCACAAAATATTTTATTTCTCATTTTATAGAATATTTAGAACACACCTTTAAAATAAAGTCGCATAATAAACTGTAAAATTATTATTGTTGCAATAGTTGTATGTCCTAATGGTTTTAATTGGCACATGATGACCTTTTGTTATCTAAATAATAGTAGCACTTCAAATAAAAATCTTAGAATGTAAAAATTCTCAGCGATTTTGAATCGTTCTAAAAATACTGCAACAACCCAATTTTCCGGAGTTATTCTCAAAGATGGTACACTGAGTACTTGACGGTAATATCAATTCCTGGATCTTTGAGATTAAGTGTGTGATGGCGGATCATAGTGAATCTAGGAAAACTTTTCAAATCGACGTAACAGTTAATGGACAGTTAAACACAATGACAGTGGAAGCGGAACGGCTATGCGAAAGCCCCATCTGAGTACGCCTATTTGTTGGATTTAAAACTAGTTAGAATCAAATCAATGTCGGTTAGGCAACTTGATGTCATTTGTGACAACTGTCAAACTTGCCGTTTCCGTTCCGATTCCACCAACATTGCGTTTGGGCCTTTACTAAGGTAACATTTTCTCGATCTCATTTCAAAAGTTGGACTTGAAATTATTTTCCATGTTTTGTTGAATGTCATGAATTTCTCTATGCAATGACAACGCGCGGCCATATAGTTTACAAGTTTATTGTTGGTTCAAAGTTATTATAACCCATCTGATTCACTTCCTAAACTTACCTTTGCCTCCCTTCTTGATGCGTTTCCTCACCCCATTGAACTGTTCCGTATCGTCATCGTCCGAATCACCTCCCTTGCCTCGCTTCTTACCCTTGGCACCCTTTCTATCGTCGATGTCCTTTATCTGCAACCGTGCCGTTCGTTGAGCTTCACCAACACGCTCCTGCAGGGCCATCACTTCGTCCTCCTCGTATTTAAACTGGGGCAGCTTTTTGCCAAGCAAATGCTCGATCCGTTGGTACAACTCCACGTCGTATTGGGAGACGAAGGTGACCGCTTTACCTGCTCGTCCTGCTCGTGCCGTTCTTCCCACACGATGGATGTAGTCCTTGCTATGCGTTGGGATATCGAAATTCAACACTACATCAACGTGCGGAATATCCAATCCTCGAGAAGCGACATCGGTCGATATCAGAATTTGGCGGGTTTTGCCTTTGAACTTGTTCAGAGCTGCGAGACGCTTGTTTTGAGACATCTGCCCATGCAATGGAACTGCTGCTAAACCCAGAGCACGCAACATCAGAGCCGTCCGTATGGTGTTATTGCAGGTACTGCAGAAAATCATGAAGGTATTGCCAGCCAGCTCATTCAGGATGTGCACCAAGTAGACGTCTTTGTACTTGGCTGGTATGAATATGTAGTACTGCAAAAGCTTCTCCACAGTTTGATACTTGCTGGAAACTTCCACCTTGACTGGATCCCTGAGGGATGCTCTTTCCAGTTTTTTAACTTTCTTCGTCATTGTGGCGCTGAACAAAAACGTTCTTCTTTCCCGTGGAATGACCTTCAAGATTTTACTCAGTTCAACTTCGAAGTCCAGATTTAGAATCCGATCAGCTTCATCCATGACCAAATACTTGACTGCCTTCAGATTGAATCCTTTCGTATTTTCCAAATGGTCCACCAATCGTCCAGGAGTAGCAATAATGATGTGCGGCTTCCTTGCCAACTGTAACGCCTGCGATACCATGTCCATACCACCCACAATGACACAGCATTTAACTCCAATAGAAACGCCCAGAGCTTCAAACTGCTCCGAAATTTGATAGGCCAATTCACGGGTTGGTGTCAGAATGAGTGCAAAGTAACGTTGAGGGTTATCTAACAAAGCTTGCAGAATGGGTAGCGCGAAAGCACCCGTTTTACCGGAACCAGTTTCTGCCAAACCAATAACGTCCTTGCCCTGCAGCGCCAAAGGAATCGCTTCCCGTTGGATCTTCGACGGGGCTTTCCATTTCAGCGCTCGGCAACTTTCGCACAGTGTGTCAATAAGACCCTAGAATGGCGAACGTTCAATCAAAGCATTATTGAAATCAAAGCATTATTGAAATCAAAGTATAACAGCGACATACCATATCCTCCCATGTCACGGGTTTTTCATCGGCTACAGCCGTTCCATTGATATCGACGTCTTTATCGCTTCCAGAACCGTCGTCGCTTTGCTGTGAGTCGTTTGAATCTGGATATGCGTTAACTTGATTTTCCTCCTCCAAATCGGTTAAATTTTCATTTTCACTCTCAGAACTCGACATTGTGAAGCAATTGAAGATAGTAAAATAGCACAATTTCACAGATGAACTGATACTTTTACATGAAAATAGTAACGAAATTAGCGAAACCCAGAAAACGTGTTGGACAAAAAGCAGCAAACGCGGAATGATGGATGGTTGACATTTTGGTGGTAAACATACACTGAAAACGAAACTTGAAACGTCAGAAATTAGTCGATAAAGTCGACATAAACGATTGTACACTCTATTTTGAGGATACTCATTTTGTAGTCGAAAATCACTCACACAAAATTTAATTCTTCGTCGTTGCTGGGGTGTTAAGGAATATTCAAGAGCAAATTTTCATTACGTCGAATGTAACAAAGGTAAACAAAGTCGAGCTATCAGTGTCAATCGATTCTCCTGCTATTACACTATATACTTTCCGCATATAGGATCAAATCCCATTTTCAAATTTATTTACCAGTCGAATTGCTTTTTGACGTAATCACCTTCCGATCAAAATAGTTTTCGATGTTACTTAAGTCACCCAATTTCTATGGAGATGCCGTTTGACTTAAGTAACAGCGCTGAGAAACCCGTGAAAAGTGTACGTTCGTCGTTTCGCTTTCTCATTATTAAAGTGAATAAATCGAACTGTTTGTTGCTAAGATGATTTCGGTGGTCCTAAAATGATGAATGGACTGCACGTAAGGAGACGAAATTGATAATTCTCCCGAATATCCTGGTAAATACACTTTGACTTAAGTAACAATAGGGGCCACCAAACGACGTATAATAACTTTTGACTCAAAAACCAGTATTTTTTAGCATGAAAGCTAGCGATTTGCATTTGTAGGATTAAAACCCTGCTTAATATGTTAAACATTGCTATCACTATGAGATTATATGTGTTTACTTGGAAATAGGAATAAATTTTCGGTCATCAAAACAAAACTTTATTTTTCTCGGATTGGTGCGAATGTTACTTACGACATAATGAAAATTTGCTCTTGTATTTTTGTTGAGAAAAATTGAAAATTTGAATAGTCACACTTAAAATCAAAATCTGTGCTCGGTGAAATATATTGCCGTAACAATTCAGTAAATTGAAAATTTACCAAAGTTTCGTTAAACATATGATAGTTCATTGAAATTCGTATCTGGTTTTAGCCAAATTTCGGTAAAAACAATCATTTACCAAGCTTCGTCAATTGTAATCACTGATCTAATTGGAAAAATCGCAAACTGCCGAAATCAGCAAAATAATTTTAAAAAATATACGGCATTCACATTTTGCTTTGCCGAAAATACTTAAAATATCTGTCAACGAAAACGGACACATAAATAACTATCAGAATGAAATTAGGTTAGGTGCGCATGAAAATTTTAAAGTGGTAGCGTCGCAGTTCAGAAAAATCAGTGAGGAAGATTGAACGGGTGCCCCGGAATGAACCTTCCTCGACGGAAGAAGCAGCACCGACAACCGGAGATAAGATGTCCGAAGCAACCAGTTCCTTGCAGTGGCTGTGGTGCATTGCTGCAATGCGCTGAACCGTGCATTACCGGGTACCTGCCCAGCAGCTGTTTAAGAATAAATCCAAGCAGCAGCTAATGACCGCCATCTGCGAGAGGTGCTTGATTACGTCGAGATTATATCCTCCATCAAGGATATGAAGTAACTCGTCCTGTTGCTGGTTGGTACCATTTTGCTAGGCTTCTGTTTCACAAAAAAAAATGTTATTAATTTCTCTTGTAATCCCTTTCAGGTGGATCTCCTCAATCTCCCGTGCTCTCTCTGGCCGGGTCTGTCGGAAATTATTGGACCCAAACGATCGATAATCGTCGTCGCAAACAAAGTCGACCTTCTTCTTCGGGACTGCCCCGGCTATCTGAACAACATTCGGAACAACTTTCCTGGAGGCTGGCTTCACCAGAAATAACATCAAATACGTGTCGCTCATCTCGATCACCACCGGTTACTGAGTCGAACAGCTGATCACTAAAATTCACAACTCTGGGGAACACGTGGTGACATCTATCTGGTCGGATACACCAACGTCGGCAAGAACTCCCTGTTCAACGCCCTTGTCCGGTCCTATCTGTGCAAAGTCAAAGCCACCGATCTGATCCAACGAGCCACGGCTTGCCCTTGGTCCAGACTGACTCACTAGATGCTGAAATATCCCATCCTAAGATTTTCCCGTTACAGGCTCTATCTTCGCTCGAAACGAGATCAGTCCGAACCGAAGAGGAAAACTACGCAAGCACCAAACCAGAAGCACCGAATCACCCGAATTTGCCTCACATTGGTCAAACCTTCGCCGACGATGTACGGTAAGTTGTGACTATTTATGGCTAGATTGATAGCCATTTAAAGTGTTTTATTTTTCGTGGAACCACCAACTTGAATAAAAAAAAAAAACAATGTTATAATATTGTATCCTACTACTTTTATTTCCCTTTAAAATCGCTACCTTAATCAAGCAAACAAATTAAAAAAGAAAAACAGCAAGGATTCACACAAAAAAAAAATACCGATAAACGGTAAACAATCTTTCCGACGGATTGGTAAAAATTGACAATTGTGGTAAATTTTGCTTTGCCGATCTCACGGCAATTGAATGTTTTACCGAGATGTTTGCCGAGCGCTCGGATGTTGGATTCTCGGCACTTCTTTTTACCGGACTCGGCGAAAAAATCTAAATGTGTATAGCGCTATCTTGATGGTGGTTTCTGTGTTGCAATTATTTGACAACCGTTATAACATGTTATAACTCTCCAGTCTGGACAGCGTTTAACGTTCACTCAGATGATGACATTTGTCATTTGAGTAAACGTTACCCATTTCGGTAGAAACGAATGAATGCCCGAGGGGGACGGTTCTATCTACGTTGCAGGAAAGATTGTGTTTTGCTGTGGCTAGCTGCGCGCACGCTGAATAGATAGAAAGAAGATTAATGACGATTCTGAAGATTTCCTGCAAAAAGATGCAAGTAGAAGCGAGAACTGAAAGAAGAGTTTTCAAAGATTGATTTCCTTGTGTGAAATTTTTTGATCATCTAGTATTGAGATTTAGATGTAAATGCCCCATTCGAAAAACTAAGTTTAAACTCACAGCGCAAAAATCACCGGTTCACAACTTGCGCCATTTCGAACAAAGGAAAAATTTATATCAAAACCATTTGTTCGTGACAACGAAAATGCATCGACGCGCCATCTGTTGCTCATCGGTCACATCGTAAAAACTCCCTTTGATCGACGGCTATAAACGCCCAAAAGGGAAATTTAGATTGGTAGCATGGCGTTGTACCGTCTTCCGCCGCGCCCTGTTATAAAAGTCGAAGAGTGACAGGAGTCATCCTCTTTCGCTACAGCGACGTCATCAAGCATCATCATCATAATTAAAGTGGAACCAAAACAAACAGAAGAAAGTAGTGAATTGAATTTAAACCCGTAGTTTATTGCCTTTTGTAATTAAGTAAAATATAGTAATTTTAAATAGAATATAGACAAAGTAAAGTGCATTTCAAGTCCAGTGATCGCGTGTGAACACTTACCTTTCGAAGGATTGATCCGCCATCCGAAAGTACCTACAAAAGAAAGAAAAAAAGTGAGTGAAAACTTTACCTGTCCGTGCGCCGACCTGGAAGTCATCGGTTGAGACAATTTTTCTGCTGCTGCTCGCTGTGCTACCGACATTTGGTCCTTCGAGCCGGATAGCGTCGAATCTCCGCTAGTCCGATAGTCCAGCGCCTAGTGAGCCGCCATCGCACATTCGCTATTGTGCCCGCTGAAGAATCGCTTCTTATCGCCATTGTCCCAGCTGAACAATCTGCTACGGAACGCCATCTTCCTGCTTGGTTGCTGCTGTTATCAAATTCAAGGCAAATTAATTGCCTCAACAAGGTAATTAGGTTTCCAACTACTTTTACTTTCTGTTTGTGTGCTACGCTGGTCCATTGTCCACAGATTTCGCTGCAATGTCGACCGAGCGCCGTATCAAGACGCTAAAGATGCGGCTGAAGAGTATAGTGACGTCGCTGAACCTCATTAAGACCTTCGTAGACGATTACGATGAGGAGACGCAGGCCGACGAAGTCCCTGTCCGTCTTGAGAGCCTGATCAAGATGTGGTCAGACTATAATACTTTCCAAAGCGAGCTGGAGACGCTCGATGAAGCTGCCATCGAGGCCCATCTGAAGGAGCGGGCGTCGCTTGAGTCCGCTTATTATCACGTCAAGGGCTTTCTGTTGGCCCGAAATAAAACGCCAATTACACCAACTCGCCCGTTTCCTAATCATTCAGAAACGCAATTCCTTCCGTCGGCATCGCAGGTGCGTTTGCCCGACGTTAAACTCCCTGTCTTCGATGGCAAATTGGAAAACTGGCTTAACTTCCACGATTTGTATGTGTCGTTGGTCCACTCAGCTGTTGGTCTCTCGAATATCCAGAAGTTTTATTACCTCCGATCATCATTATCGAACACAGCTCTTCAACTCATCCAAACGATCCCAATATGTGCGAACAATTACCCGGTGGCATGGAACCTTCTGCTGGAACACTTCCAAAACCCTGCTCGGCTGAAGCAGGCGTACGTAGACACTCTCTTCGATTTCGCTTCTATCAAAAGAGAAACGGCAACGGAACTCCACAGTCTGGTGGAGAAATTCGAGGCAAACGTCAAAGTTTTGCAGCAATTAGGTGAACGCACGGAGTATTGGGATATTTTGCTCATCCGTATGCTCAGCACTCAACTGGATCCGACGACAAGGCGAGATTGGGAGGAGTACTCTTCGACCAAACCAGCGATCACTTTCAAAGACCTGACATCTTTCATCCAGCGACGAGTTACGGTGCTGCAATCCATCCAGGCCAAGCCCATCGAAGCTCAATCGTCGACCGTTCAGAAGAAGCCAGTTCAGCGATCCGTCTCGAGCCACGGAGCCAACCAGGTCAATCTTCGGAAGTGTGTCGTCTGCTCAGACCATCACCCTTTGTACATGTGTGGAATTTTTTCGCAGCTTTCAATAGAAGAAAAGGAGAAAGAGATACGCCGTCATCAACTCTGCCGAAATTGTCTTCGAAAGGGTCACCTATCAAGGGATTGTTCGTCGTCTACCAACTGCCGAAAGTGTCGTGGACGTCATCACACGCAGCTATGCTCGAACGATTCCTCTTTTTCGTCGAACTCGAAGCCAGTCCAGTATCCAAAACCTGCTACACCTACTCCAGCTACCATTCCTCCGACCATGTCCTCATCTGTTACGGTCGTCGAATCCATCAGTTACGCTTCCGCTGGCCATAAGAAGAAGACAGTTCTCCTTGCCACTGCTATGATCATCTTAATCGATGACAACGGGGTCGAGTACGTTGCCCGCGCACTTCTGGACTCAGGAAGTGAATGCTGCTTCATCACGGAAAGGTTTTCGCAGCGCATCAAGGCTCAGAGGAAGAAAATCTATCTTCCAATCTCCGGAATCGGTCAAGCGTCCACTCAAGCTAGGCTTAAGTTTTCATCCACAATCCGCTCTCGAGTTGGCACGTACTCCACCAGCGTCGAATTTCTCGTTCTACCCAAGGTGACCATCGATCTACCAGCCACTTCCGTTGATACTTCAACTTGGGACATGCCACCCAGCATTCAACTCGCAGATCCGTCGTTTGACAGCACCAATCCCATCGATGTCATAATTGGAGCCGAAATTTTCTTTGACTTGTTCAAGGTTCCTGGACGCATTCCTCTCGGCGACAATCTTCCGGTATTGCTCAATTCCGTCTTTGGTTGGGTAGTAGCTGGGAAATCTACAATGAGTCCGTCTACCGCTCTCGTCGTTGCAAACGTCGCTACCGTCGCAGATATCCATCAGCTCATGGAAAAGTTCTGGACAATCGAGGAAGACAGCACTTCGACAGCGTACTCCGTCGAAGAAGCTGCCTGCGAGGAACATTTTTCTCGTACTGTAGCTCGTACTCCAGAAGGACGCTACGTAGTCCGCTTACCGTTCAAGGAAGAGGTCATAAATCAAGTTGGCGACAACCGTCGTACCGCTGTTCGTCGATTCCACCTGCTTCAAGGTCGTCTAATCCGCAACCCCGACCTTCACCAGCAGTACAAGGCTTTCATCGACGAGTATCTCGACCTCGGACACATGAAGCGCATTCATGATTACGAAGACCCAGAGGTACAGCACTATTACCTCCCACATCACGCTGTGATACGAGAGGAAAGCACGACGACGAAGTTACGGGTCGTCTTTGATGCCTCGTGTAAAACCCCGAACGGACCTTCGCTCAACGACGCTCTGATGGTTGGACCAACGGTGCAAGAGGACATCCGATCGATCACGATGCGCTCCCGAAAGCATCAAGTCATGGTAGTTGCTGATGCCAAGATGATGTATCGTCAAGTTCTCGTCGACCCTCGTGACTGCCGAGTCCAACTCATCGTCTGGAAACCATCACCGGACCATCCGATGGAGACATATCAACTGAATACCGTAACGTACGGTACTGCCAGCGCTCCTTTCCTCGCCACTCGGGTACTGATCCAACTTGCCGACGACGAAGGTCAATGTTTTCCCCTTGCAGCCAAAGCTCTGAAGAAAGACGTCTACGTTGACGATCTCTTTTCCGGCGGAAGAAACGCAGCAGAAGTAATTGAACTCCGGAACCAGCTAGATGCACTCCTAGCAAAAGGCGGATTTCAACTTCGCAAGTGGGCTTCAAACGATGAGGTAGTACTCAAGGGAATTCCACCTGAAAATCGCGCACTCAAGACTTCCGTAGACCTCGATCGAGATCAGGTCATCAAAACTCTCGGGCTACATTGGGAACCAGCCTCAGATTGCCTGCGATACAAAATCGACCTACCATCTGATACAGCAGACCAACCTATTACTAAACGAATCGCTCTTTCGCTCATCGCCCGTCTCTACGACCCGCTTGGCTTAGTGGGACCTGTCGTAACTGCTGCCAAGGTTTTCATGCAGAACCTGTGGAAACTGAAAGACGACAGTGGATCTTCGTGGAGTTGGGACAAGGAACTACCGATGGAGTACCAGATCCATTGGACAAATTATCAGTCTAAATTGCCGCGACTCAACGAACTTCGCATCGAACGCTGTATTCTGCAACCCGAACCTGCAACGATCCAGATCCACATCTTCGCTGATGCCTCGCAGCTTGCCTATGGAGCCTGTGCATACGTCAGATCCACTAATGCATCTGGAATAGTTAAGGTTGCCCTCCTCACTGCAAAATCAAGAGTAGCACCTCTAAAAAGGCAATCGATTCCTCGACTCGAGCTCAGTGGAGCACTACTGGCAGCGCAACTCTACGAAAAGGTTCAGTCATCGCTCCGTCTCGACGCGAAATGCTACTTCTGGCTCGATAGCACCGTCGTACTCTGCTGGCTCAACGCATCTCCTTCTACTTGGAACACGTTCGTTGCCAACCGAACATCTAAGATCCAGCTCACCACCCAGAATAGCTCGTGGAATCATGTCGCTGGTCTAGAAAATCCTGCGGACTGCATTTCACGTGGGATAACTGCAGACACTATAATTGATTTTGACATCTGGTGGCAGGGACCTGAATGGCTTCGGCAACCTCAAGATTGCTGGCCAGTAGCTGGAAGTACACACGATCAACCTTCTGAGGCGTTGGAAGAAGCACGTCGAATCTCCCTAGCAGTATCGTCGTCACCAAACGAACCGTCATTCGTCGACCTGCTCGTCGAAAAATTCTCCGAATACCGTTACCTTTTGCGTATAGTCGCTTACTGCCGTCGTTTTCTTCAAAGCTGTCGAAAACAATCCAGTGGACTGCCAAATTCTACTCTGCTGAAAGTAGAAGAGATGTTAGAAGCGGAGAGAATACTCATCAGATTAGTTCAACAACAAGCCTATACACAGCAAAAAAAAATGTAATATCGATCAACGTAATTCAAGCTGATGTATGAAATAATGATGTAATAGCAAATAGCAGATACAATATTACATCAATGGATGTAATTTTGTTCGCAAAATCGATGTACATCGTACAATGTGATATTACGCAACCGATGGATTGACCTGGTTGCAGCAGTTTTGATGTAATATTCAACAACTTTTTTTGCTGTGTAGCGAAGAGTGGAAGCAGCTTCAACAGTCGGAACCAGTATCGATGAAATCTCGCCTCAAGTGGTTCCACCCGTTCATCTCGTCAGAGAAGGTAATTCGCATCGGTGGCAGATTGGAAAAGGCAGAACAACCATACGATAGCAAGCATCAAATTCTCCTGCCAGCATCGCACAAACTTTCGCTGCTTTTGGTTCGCAGCTATCACGAGCGGCATCTCCACGCTGCTCCACAATTGCTCCTCAATCTACTTCGGCAACGGTACTGGATCATAGGGGCCAGGAACATGGCCAAGCGTGTGGTTCACACCTGTGTTACTTGCTTCCGAGCACGCCCTCGAATGCTGGAGCAATTTATGGCCGAGCTTCCTGCGTCGAGAACTACTGCAAGTCGACCCTTCACCATTACAGGAGTAGACTATTGGGGACCAATTTCACTCAAGCCTATACATCGTCGTGCTGCACCCGGGAAAGCTTACGTTGCCGTGTTTATTTGCTTCTCCACGAAAGCAGTACATCTGGAACTTGTAGCAGATCTCAGCACACCGAAATTTTTACAAGCGCTTCGTCGGTTCGTGTCTCGCCGTGGCCTTTGCTCCGATCTACACAGCGATAATGGTCGAAACTTCGTTGGAGCGAATAATGAACTTCGGGATCTCGTTCGCAACAAGGAGCATCGCAATGCTATCGCACAAGAATGCAATCTGCAAGGAATTCGTTGGCACTTCAACCCTCCTAGAGCATCCCACTTCGGCGGGCTATGGGAGGCCGCAATAAAGTCTGCTCAAAAGCATTTCGTGCGGGTCCTCGGAAAGCACACTCTTGCCTACGACGACATGACTACGCTACTGTGCCAAATCGAATCCTGTCTGAACTCTCGACCGATTGTTCCACTGAGCGATGATCCTAGCGACTTTGAGCCACTCACTCCGGGACACTTTTTAACGGGATCCGCCCTCAAGGCTGTTCCAGACGTCAATTACATTGATATCCCAACGAATCGACTTCGACAGTGGCACTTGGTCCAAAAACTGTTCCAGGAATTGTGGAAAAGATGGCACTTGGAGTACCTTTCCACACTGCAGCCACGTACAAAATGGTGCAATCCACCTATTCAGCTGCAGCAAAACCAACTTGTTGTTCTTCGCGACGAAAACACTGCACCAATGCACTGGCAGACCGCTAGAATCGACCAGGTTCATCCCGGTTCAGATGGAGTCATCAGGGTAGTGACGGTCCAAACACCAACCGGCCGTTACGTTCGCCCGGTATCAAAAATTTGCCTTTTACCAGTGCAATCATCGTCCGACCAAAACCAACCACCACAGATGTAAACATCAACACTGCAGCCATCCAGCTACTTGCATTCCAAAATTCACCTTCAACGATAGTATTCCGAAGTTCACGACTATCCGTTGACAACAGGAGCATCTGTAATTAAAAATCAATGCCTTTCATTAGAAAGGACAAGACCATTTTTCTATCGTCGACTTTCGTGTATAAACAAATCGTCCGTCGAAGCTTCATCGATCGTATTGATCAGTTCACGAAGATTTGCCGCACTCTTCTCTCACCCGTAAGTTTTGACAGTTTTGGGTGGTTTGTTTTGGCTCCCATTCGTTGCTATCTCTTTTACTCAGAAGCAAAATGATAGGGAGCAAAAAGTGAGGTTAGGGACCGTGCACTGATCTATAGCAGTGACAGTCCCGATGCGAGAAAGAGACCGGTAGCAGAGCAGCTGATCATCGAGTATACACGTCAGAAACGAAGTTCCTGAAGGGGCCAGTATGTTCGTGACAACGAAAATGCATCGACGCGCCATCTGTTGCTCATCGGTCACATCGTAAAAACTCCCTTTGATCGACGGCTATAAACGCCCAAAAGGGAAATTTAGATTGGTAGCATGGCGTTGTACCGTCTTCCGCCGCGCCCTGTTATAAAAGTCGAAGAGTGACAGGAGTCATCCTCTTTCGCTACAGCGACGTCATCAAGCATCATCATCATAATTAAAGTGGAACCAAAACAAACAGAAGAAAGTAGTGAATTGAATTTAAACCCGTAGTTTATTGCCTTTTGTAATTAAGTAAAATATAGTAATTTTAAATAGAATATAGACAAAGTAAAGTGCATTTCAAGTCCAGTGATCGCGTGTGAACACTTACCTTTCGAAGGATTGATCCGCCATCCGAAAGTACCTACAAAAGAAAGAAAAAAAGTGAGTGAAAACTTTACCTGTCCGTGCGCCGACCTGGAAGTCATCGGTTGAGACAATTTTTCTGCTGCTGCTCGCTGTGCTACCGACACCATTTACCCAAAATCTGGGTAGATCCCACTCATCGGAGCAAAATCAGTTTACTCTTTTTTTTTTTACAACTCCAGTCCATTTTGGACTTGATGAAAGATCAGCAATAAAGTTGCTGAAACTTTCAGTAATTGGGTTCTTTAAGGGTATTGAGGTAAATGCATATTCGTAATCTGCATTAAAAATGGAACCCAAAATTAATATTTCATCAATTTTGGTACACTTAAACCATTTTACATTTGCAAAAATCACCTTACTAGCGCCCTTCGGTGTCACTTTGTATGGGAACAAGCTGTCAGTTTGTCAGTTTAGTGTCGAGCAGTGAAGTTATTATTTTGCTTTAAATCTTGATTTAAAAATCGAGATGAAAGTGTTTGGGTTCGAAAATATATATCGCTGTGCTCAAAAAACGAAGCTTTTTCAGCTGACATATAAAAACCGATATATTTTTTAAAATTTAAAACTCAATTCAAACTTCTGACAAAATGAATCTTCAGTATATCTGTTATTTTTTGCTGAACCTGCAATAAATATATATTAACAGCACTGTGCTGGTTGTCCAGCAATATTTTTGTTTTGCACCTTTGCTGGATTATCATTAATATTTATTTATTTTTTCGTTTTTGTAAATTGGGTTGTTTAACTTCAAAAAATATAACAATTTTTATATATCATCTGATAGAGCCTCGTTTTCTGAGCACAACGATATTTTTATTGATACCGTAGACATTCATCTCAATTTTTAAACCAAGATTTAAATTTTTGATCGTTGACACTAAATCTATTCGTTGACAGCTCGCTCCCATGCAAAGTCCCACCAAGGGGCACTAAGATGGTGATTTTTGCTAATGTAATCGTACTTATTTCAAATATTCGGATATCGGTTCCATTTTGAATGCAGATAACGAATATGTATTTACCTCAATACCCCTTAACAACCCAATTGGGTAAACTAATGCAATTCCTACACTGCATTTAATGCATGATTCCTTTAAAAAATCACGGCATACAAAGTCTGACGTTTGCTTATGGATTTTATAAAGAGCTACAGAGTCGCCGTCAACGCCAATGATTGAATGATTTAAGCTATTCAGGGTGAACATCTTGCGGACAGTGTAGTTCAGCAGTCCATTTTGCTGAAACTTGAGTCAGATTTTTGGTGTGTACAGCATGCAAAAATGAGTGCAATCTACCCAGTCAATGAGTAGTCTTAAAATAGCGTACACCGAAAATAGTTTTCATGCAGCTTCCACACTGAACCAATTTGACATATTCCTGTTATGTGGAAGTCTAATAATGTTGCGCTATAAGATAATCCATTGAAAATGATATGATTGAAAATGTGTCAGGTAAATTCTATATGAATATCTGATACATTTACAATGCTGATAATTTGATAACTTTTATATGATCGTCATATGATAAATGAAAATCGGTCAAATTATAATAATTAACTGAAATGGATTTGAAACACATAACCATAAGCTTTACTTTTCATAAATCAATCGAAGTAAAGTTTATGTGAAAATCACATGAAATTTACTTCTTCTTTTGACACATATATTTAATCGATTTCTAAAAATAAATCGAAAAATAAACAACAGGCAGTGGGAGCTTTCACAGTTGTGTCTTTTTTTTATTGTAGCTGATTTGGGATTAGATCCAGAACTGTTGAGCTGTGATGTTTTTGGTGTCTGCTCGATTCCATTGGGCCACGGCTGACTTCAATATTGAGCTCGTTCAATTAGCATGAAGTAAGAACAGCTCTCCCGACATGGAATGTACACTGAACCAATTTGACATATTCCTGTTATGTGGAAATCTAATAAATTTGCGCTATAAGATAATCCATTGAAAATGATATGATTGAAAATGTGTCAGGTAAATTCTATAAAAATATCTGATACATTTACAATGCTGATAATTTGGTAACTTTTATATGATCGTCATATGATAAATGAAAATCAGTCAAATTATAATAATTAACTGAAATGGATTTAAAACCCATAAGCATAAGCTTTACGTTTTACCACAATATAATATATGTGTCATAAATCAATCGAAGTAAAGTTTATGTGAAAATCACATGAAATTTACTTCTTCTTTTGACACATATATTTAATCGATTTCTAAAAATAAATCGAAAAATAAACATCAGGCAGTGGGAGCTTTCACAGTTGTGTCTTTTTTTTTATTGTAGCTGATTTGGGATTCGATCAAGAACTGTTGAGGTGTGATGCTTTCGGTTTCTGCGCTCGATTCCACTGGGCCACGGCTGACTTCAAGATTGAGCTCGTTCAATTAGCATGAAGTAAGAACAGCTCTCCCAACATGGAATGTAGTGCAACTTTATGCTCGTTTTGCTAGAGTGAAGACAAATAGCACTGACAAATTTATGTTCCGTTTCGGTGGTGTCGTTTGTTCAAATCTTTCTTAATGCGCCTGTGTGCAATAAAACAACGACTAAATTATATGAGTTGATGGAACTGGTTCATGAAGTTCGAGTACTAGGGCTGGAATCTGAATTAGCCGTGTAGAAGGCTTACAATTAGAATCACAGCAAAGTAAATATTGCAGTAGAATAATTTTTTTTTTCAGTCTCAATACATTCTTTTCCGGAACCCCTTATCTTATGAAACAATAACAAACAAAGATTATTCAATACAGTATCATTGTTGTTAGCAATATTTACAATATCAACAATATCAACTAATCATTTTAATGAGTGTACGATAACATCGTTGAAAATTGTTTCAATAATTTATGAAGAGCAATCATGTAAGATGTATTTTATTTTGAGCGATATTCATCCCAGAAAAACATGCCAAAACAAATGTTTGCTGTTGGATTTCTTAAAAGGCAAATCTATATGACTATATAATGATTGGGATAAATCTGTTTACAATCTTTAAACCTCAAAAATCAAAGGAAGCTATTCCAATGAGATATGAGATATACATGTTTTCCTATACTGTAAAGTTAAATGACAGTCCAATAGTTTCTACATGTCTGTTTACACGCGACATATCAACAAACGTCAAAAATCGTTAAAAGCAATTCAATAAAATATACATGATTATCTTATAAGATATATCTTTTAGTGAGCAATATTCATCATGAAAACAGGTATATTGTACTGAATTTTCTCATAATGCAAACTTATATGATTTTCCATTAGTTTCTAGATGTCTGTTCCCACCCATGACAAATCAACAGTTTTTCACCATGGAATATATCAGACAATATTCATATACATCTTACCTATCGCTAACCACGTTCGAAGCAAAGTATTATCAAGTACAAAGTATGTGAAATTACGATAGAAATCATTCCATATCGCAGTCATAGTTTTAAAGTGATAATACAATGGAATCTATCAATCATCACGTAGAATGAATAAATCTGCTGACATTGCTATGTTATAAGATGGATCCAGTAAACGGTACATGTCGATTTGTTTCAGTGTAGTGCAACGTTATACTCGTTTTGCTACACTGAATCAAATCGACATGTACCGTTTATTGGATCCATCTTATAACATAGCAATGTCAGCAGATTTATTCATTCTATGTGATGATTGATAGATTCCATTGGATTATCACTTAAAAACTATGACTGCGATATGGAATGATTTCTATCGTAATTTCACATACTTAGTACTTGAAATACTTTGCTTCGAACGTGGTTAGCGATAGGTAAGAAGTATATGAATATTGTCTGATATATTTCATGGTGAAAAACTGTTGATATGTCATGGGTGGGAACAGACATCTATAAACTAATGGAAAATCATATAAGTTTGCACTATGGGAAAATCCAGTAAAATATACCTGTTTTCATGATGAATATTGCTCACTAAAATATATATCTTATAAGATAATGATGTATATTTTATTGGAGTTGCTTTTAATGATTTTTGACGTTTGTTGATCTGTCGCGTGTAAACAGACATGTAGAAACTATTAGACTGTCATTTAACTTTGCAGTATAGGAAAACATGTATATCTCATTGGAATAGCTTCCTTTGATTTT